GCAAGATGGCGGCCACCAGAGCGATATATGCGATGTTTTCAAAAAATTGTTTTAGAAAAATGGATGCTCTATCCCCTTTAAAAACTGGATTTTTGGACTTCTCAAATGATGTAGTTCCTCTTAAAAATGGGTCATTTTGGAGGGTCAGTTGTCCTTTAAGTACATCGAAGGCATCCGGTCTAAACTTGGTACGTTCTGCTTGTTTGGTGGAGGAGCAACGACCCCAAAGAACATGAAGAAGATCTCCGACTGGTATAGGGCGAGAGGGATTAAAGGGCGGGTTGTAGGTCGTTACGGGCCATTATCATTCTTAGGTATTACGTACCCCGCTTTTAAGAAGAGTGCGGAAAGTTGGTTAAAAGAACGGTACCCGGTTATTCTTGGGTTCTGGACCAAGGGATTCAGTATGCATTATGCCGTTGCAACCCGCTACAAGGAAAAGCAACAGAAGTACCGAAGATGCTTCTTCTCAATCTGTCGCACCAAGGTCAAAGTTCAAGGTTCATTCTACTTGCACATGGGATGGGGAGGAACCAGTAATGGATGGTATTCCAAGAACACATTCGCTGTATACTCTGCTAAAAAATACTGAACAATCAAAATACGTTCTTTATTTTCGTAGATATAGATATTTTTAATCTGTATTTTTTTTATGCCAGAGGGGCTTCAAACAATGTTTTTCTCCATAGTTGTGTTATGCGATCCTACCAATTGCTTTGTTATGTTATGTTTGCCATACTACCCTATGCTACACTTCTGTAAACCATGCTATGCACTGCTATCCTTTACTATGCTATGCCATACTACCCTATGCTATACTTCTGTAAACCATGCTATGCACTGCTATCCTTTGCTATGCTATGCCATACTACCCTATGCTACACTACTGTATACCAAGCTATGCAATACTCCCTTCGCTATGTTATGCTGCCTCTTGCTATGCTATACTTTGTTATGCTACCCTATGCTATGCTATACTTCACTATGCTATTCAATCCTACCCTTTGCTATGCTATTTTATGCTATCTTTTGCTATGTTACTCTTTGCTAGACAAACACAGGATGTCTTGTTGTTGCCATTGTGTAGTTCCAGAAATTATCCATACCCCAGCCCACAGAGGAATTTGGAATTTCCAAGGGGTGGGGTATTAGAGAAAGAACAAAATTAAAGAGTTTGTGTGGAAGAAAATTGGAATTTCCAGAGGTAGGTAGGGTCTTAGAAAAAATTCCTCCATGGGGGAGGTATGAATAATTTCTGTAACTACACATTTCTGGAGGGAGGGGACAGGCATCTATTTGCATTTTAGTACTTTTACAGTCTATGACACAAGCTACCCAGTCCATGTTTAATTTCTGTTAATCCAAGGATACACCAAGTGCCCTCGTAACAGCTTTCCCACAAACGTACCCCAGGTATCTTGTACATCATCTGTTTCATGTTCAGCATCTATTGACCAGTCCCTCAACTGGGCAATGAACAATGGCTTGTTGGTGAGCTTGAGGTACAAGACTGAGACTGGTGAAGGGAGGGGAGGGGAGGGTTGCACAAAGTCTGTAGGTGGTTGTGGTTGGTCAGAGAAGTTCTCAAGGATCTCAAGTTGCAGTCCTCCTATGATTATAAAAATTGTAAAAAATATTAATTAGAATCAGAAATAAGTGTACTTTTTTATTTTTGGTCTTTCTGCATAAGATATATTATGTGATGGAGTCAATATATAGCAAATAAACTGCTTCAGGGAGAAAACATATATGGTATTTTTATTGAACAAATATAAAAGGTTTCTCCATGAGCTATTTAGAAATACAGAACACAGGAAGTAATGTAAACATGAAAGTATGAATGATTATACAGAAAGAAACATCCATTGTAGTTTTCAATGCTGTAATAATACACTTATTTGCAAGGTTGGCTGCACATGTACAGTTAGTTTCAGCGACCACTATTACGGCACAGTTCTTGACCAATCAGAGCATATGTACTGTCTAAGCTATGAAATAATACCTGGTAGGAGACTGGGCTGAAAAAACAGCAACAACAAACCAAACAAAGGTATCTTATTCATAAGATGTGTAGCACAGGACAAGAGGTACTTGATAACATACACCAGAAGCCTTAGTGATGTAAATACCACATAAAACAGGGCAGTTGTAGGGAGAAGAAAGAGCAGGACAGTAAAGAGTAGTGTACCAACAAACAGGCGGTCTACATCATGAGGAAGACTGTCGACTCTGCTTCGTAGTATATTCCATTTTTTGCCTGTAAAGATAAAGAAATGTTCATTAATAAATACAAGTAGTTTTTGATAGTTTAAATTAATAGCATAATAATTTAGACACACTTCTGCAAAATGTCTTTAAATGTTGCTGCAAATTTAATGACAAACTTCTATCAGTGAATGAACACTAAAAGTGTGCAATACTTTGCATTATTTAGCTTTAAAAAGCACTAATTAAACAATAGAATTAGCATAATTTAGCACTATTTAGTATTATTTAGGTTTGTAGCCTTGAAGTGTTTGTACTCCAATGTGTCAAAAGGTAAAAAAAGATTCATTTAAAACAGTCAACCCCAGATACAACACGTGTGACATCCGTCCATCAAACTTATACTGTAATTTCTGAGTTCACAAATGTTTGATTGATAAAAGCCAAAAAAACTTTGATTCCTAGGAGTCATAGAGGTGGTAGAAACATAAGCAACTCAAGCAGAAAACATTACAGAAGGTTCTGCAACTTGTGTTGCATGACTAGCAAACTGTATATCTTTCTATCTATCACTGACAGTACCTGTGAAAAGTCTTGCAAGTGATAACAGAGTATAGACCTGTAGACTGTACAGTCTTGCAGCATACACATAAAAACAGTAAATGTGAAGAGTAAGAAGAGACAAAACATCAGATGCTAAAGAAATAAGAAAAGTCATCCCCAGACAACCTGATAAAATACATGTCCACAGAAGTGTTTGTAGGTATGGCTGGATGATCTTAAGGTATATTTGCCATAGATATATGTGGTACAAAAAGAACTTGCCAAGAAAGCTTGTAAGGGTTTTGTCCAGTTTAAGCCCAGCTGGTACACCCATGAGCCATTGGATCAGCTGAGTGAGCAATTGAGCACCATTTTCTGTACTCTCTAGTAAATAACTTGCCATATCTGCTACAATATTGGTTGAAGTAAGCCACATAACTATTACTACTCCTAGTATAACGTCTAACACAATGATAGTTATCAAATTTCCTTTGATAATAAATGTCCGTTGCTTCTCATGCAAATATTTTTTGAGGTTCTTGGGCTCTTGTTTATCATGGATCATGTAGCTTGAAGCTTGTGGTATCATTTGTTTGTCTACTGTAGCAATTTGTTTCAGACGTAATGAAAACTGCTTGAATAACACCGAAAGCGACAAGAACCTTGCAACTTTTGATTTAAAAATCGCATGACTCATAGTTAACAATAAAAACCTTGAAATAGAAGCAATGAAGCCAAATAAGAAGTTTGGTAATAACAAAAGCCAGTATAAAAATATTGATAAAAAATCCTGAATAAGATGATTCCTCGTTGTCTGAATGGAAGATTGGATTTCAGGATCTGGAATCATGTTTATATAATTAATAATTTCCTCAATGCAAGAGTCTGTGTTGTTGTCTGGTAAAGGCAGAAGTGCTTGATCTTTAGACTGCCCTGCTAAGTTATCTTCGTCTTGACTGGCGTTACTCCTTAAGTTCAAGGGATGGATAGTAATTAGAGATGTTGAAGGTTGGTCGTACAAGATTATGATAGCTTCTTCACTGCGTGATAAAATCATAGGGCGTCTTTCTCCACGACGCAAGAAGAGAACTAGACTGGTTGGTTCTTCTAGTCTTCTTTCTTCTGTAATACTATCAGAACGATACCATAAGCCAATAACTGATAAGTCTTTAGACTTCAACGGCACGGCTTTTGTGGCATTGACAACAGCAACAACACATAGAATATCTTTCTTCTCGTCCTTCATTCCTACCATCAGACCATTTGGACATGCCATACAATGCGTTGGGAAAATCAAATACATGACTGATTCCAAAAATAGGCCTAAAAACTTAAAATAATTGTAAAAAATCTAGATTCTAATCTGTGTAACACAAGAAGTCATGCCGTCCGCCATCTTGGTTCCTCCTAGTGCTCAGTCTCTCACTTTGAAACCGGAAGTACAAATCCTTCTCCTCACACCCTCCCACTAAGGCGATCTTTCGTTTTCGATTGCGTTCCGAACATGGCCGACAAAATTCCCGAAGCTCTTCCTTCCTTCCCACATTTTGGGACGATCGCCATTCATGATGGCCAAGAACCAGAGCAGTGGATGTCTATGGGTGTTGTGCCACCGATATCAATGGCTACGACGTTTAAACAAGATAGCCCTGGTCAACATAGAGTAAGTTCGTTGAAAATACTGACGTGTCACGTTCGTAAAAATATTCAACAATTTACCACGTGTGTGGTATGTTAAACAGCCAATAAACTATAAACTCATAGATTGACTACTTATGAGATTAATTGTTCTTTTATATTATTTTATCAAAAGAAGAAACCGGAAAAATAAACGCGATGTACAAAAACTTAAATTTTACTCAAAAACGCTGTCTAATTCTATGAGAACTTATTAGCTTTTTTTTTTTTTGTGTACTTTAATACACGTGTTGCTAGGCATCTAGTCATTTTACGTAGCCACTAGGAAACTGTCATAATTATGATGTACAAATTATTTTAATTTTTTTCGTGTATTTTTAGGGTTTTGAGTATTCGAGATCCGGAAATCCAACGAGACAGTGTTTTGAAAAATGCGTAGCTGGTCTTGAAGGAGCTAAATATGGTAGGTCGGTTACCGGATGTTTCGCCCACAAGTCAGTTCGCCCACACCGTTTAGCCCACAACCGTAAGTCTTTTCGCCCACACGATATCATGTCATATAAATATACACTTGAAAAGCTTTATGAAATAGAATTTATGTAATTTTAAGTCCATCAAAGCAATGATGGAACTTTTAGAATAGCATTAATTCCAGTTGTCTCGATGAAAGTCAAAGATCTATCGCGCTGTAGGCTCGCGCTGTATYTCACGAACTCGGATGTCAATGAAAATGACACATCAAAGCATTCGATAAGATTAAATAATCATGTTTTTAATAAAGATTTTCTTCAGAAAGCCAAGATTTGTTTCGAAAATCTCACTTGTTAGTTTCACTTCATTGACGAGCAAGTCTTTACACTAATTTGTYGCCGTCACTCCGTCACAACAAAGTCGTTCGCSTCTGAAGTCAATTCTCAGCGCTTTGGCTTTCATCGAGACAACTGGAATGCTATTCTAAAAGTTCCATCATTGCTTTGATGGACTTAAAATTACATAAATTCTATTTCATAAAGCTTTTCAAGTGTATATTCATATGACATGATATCGTGTGGGCGAAATTGATTTGATGGCCGATATGTTGTGGGCTAAACGGTGTGGGCGGACTGACTTGTGGGCGAAACATCCGGTTACCGGTAGGGTCAAGTGCTTTGTAAATGATCATTGTTTTCTGGGCAAATAATTCTATACTTCATTGTGGTTTAAGATTAATGATGTCTATTCTATTGATAGTAAGTGCAGTAAACCTCCGCTTATATTTACCCAAGATGTGCCAACATTTTCGGTTTCAATCATTCTTTCACTTAATTTCAGCTTTTGCAACAGCTTCTGGCCTGGCTGCATCTTTGGTCATCGCACATTTGATGAAATCTGGTGATCACATTGCTTGTGTTGATGATGTCTATGGAGGTATTGTACATTGCAACTACATACATTAACCAAAGCCACCCTGGTTGAAACAATTTTAAAATCAAATTCACAAAACATAATTTTGATGCTGATTATAACAGGATGGTGATGAATGCTGGTGTTTCAACTGTTTCTTGCTCACTCCTGATTGCACACACACACATATAGAGCAAAATATATGCTTTTAAAGGGAAAATTTGTACAGATTCTATTGTTTAAATATTCAACCATGATAAAATAAATATAAAATAAATAAAATAAAATAAATGGGATTTAACAGTTGCATTTCTACAGAGTAGCTATTCATCCACTGTAATTCCAATTGGAATTTAGTAGTTGATTTTTGCAGAGGGAGGAAAGCCAGAGAACCCGGAAAACCCTCGAAGCACAGGAGAGAACCAACAAACAACTCTACTCACGTACGACACTGAGCTCAGCGGGACTCGAACCCGGGTCGCATTGGTGAGAGACGGGCGCTCTCACCGCTACGCCACCTGTGCTTCCCCGTATAAGATTAGCTGATTTGTATTGTCTGGGTGGAACAGGATATGCAAGTTTATTTTATTATGGAAAAGTTGAGGGGTGGAGAGGCTAAAAGTAATGCCTAATTCTGTGACCAACATTTTTTTTAGGAACCAACAGATACTTCAACAGAATCATGGCTGGTGCGATGGGAATAGAAGTTACAATGAATGACTTCACAAACCTGGAAAATGTTGAGAAGGCAATCAAGCCCAACACAAAAGTAAGAAGAAGAAAATTAGGACCATTTAAAAAATAAATTGATATCGTTCCAGCTGACCAGATTTTTGGCATAGGAAAAAAGTAGATATTATGATTACAATTTTTGCACTTTTAATGAAAAATTATTAAGGCCCCATCCAAATATATACGAAAATTTTTGTATCTGCATCCGGAAATTTTTGAAAACGGTCTCCAAAGTGAAAATTTTCGAATATGCTCTGAATACGGATACGTATGGACGGTCGTATCCGCAAATTTTCGAATAAGCTGACATAAACATGATTTTGAGCATGCTCAATAAGAAAAACTATCTGTCAAAGGGACTAGGCACTAGCGTGCATCAGGGCAGATCAAGAAATTTCCAGATGCGTGTGGATAGTGAAAACAATTCAAAAACGATTCGAATACGCTGCGTGTGGACGCGAACATTTTTGTATCCACAAAAAATAATCTGCGGATACAAAAATTTCCGGATACTTTTGGACGGGGCCTTAGTTGCAGACATATCCTGTGACTTGATTTATTCAATAATTTGTGAAGCAAGGATTAATTTATTATTTGGTAGATTAACTTAAGACACCTTTAATCAATAATACCATAGCCATATCATAGGCATACTACAGTGAGTGGAAGGGAGGGGGTCCAAAGAGTTTACCCCCCTCCTCTCCCCTCCACTTTTCAATAATTTGACTAACCAATGAGAGAGCCATAAGCTACCCTCCCCAACAATCTCACACACACACACACTTTAATCGTGAATATGCCCCCCATTAACTAAAAACCAGCATATACTGTCTTAATCAACAGATTGTGTGGATTGAAACACCTACCAACCCATTGCTGAAGTTGATTGACATCAAAGGCGTGGCAGACATCGTTCACCAACATGAGGTATGAATATTCAAGTACTGTAATACTACAGTTGTTATTTAAGCAATTAACCAATTCTGGTTTGTTCTTTAATAGGGTGTTATTCTTGTGGTGGACAACACCTTTATGTCTTCATATTTCCAAGTAAGTCTTGTGTAAAGCTGATAAGGAAAATAAGAGTGGTAACATAGTTTGGCAAGGAATAACTTTGTTTGCCATTTTCTGTAACAGTTACCTAGCTAGAGTATTTAACAATTATTCACTGCAAACAAAGCAAATTATTAAATATTTTACCGAGCTATGAGTCTTATATAATCTTAGACTTGAATATCAGACAAAAGACAAAAGTCAGGTTTAAAAACGTTTAGCATTACTTCTGCTCTGGCAAACTTTGGGAAACCTCATTATCACCACTTGAGCAGTGAATATCTTCTCATAGCCACTGGTCACTTAACCAATCACAGCACGCAAAACTCTCATTGAAGTCTAAAATAATACCAAAAGCTGATGCTATTTTTAATTCCATTCAATAGAGGCCTCTCTCTCTTGGAGCTGATGTTGTGATGCATTCTGTTACCAAATACATGAATGGTAAATATCTTGAAGTAGGAAGCATGAGGGAAGCACGTCTGATAACCCAGTGGCCCTAATTTATACCTTGCCACATCAACACTGGTGAAAGTTTTGTTCATGCCCTTACCTATCCTAAACATTTTCATTTCAACTAACCTCCTTCACTCAACCAGACCTGTCTATTTATGTCTATGTTATCAGTGTAAGGTCTTTGAATGATTGTTCCAGGTCATTCTGATGTTGTAATGGGAGTGCTTGCTACCAGCGATGAAAAGATAGCAGAAAGAATAAGATTCCTACAGAATGGTATGAATATTTTACACTCACGGGCTAAGATGAAATCTTGCATTATGCAAAAACATTACATTGTACCTGCCCTTTTAAGCACGAATGCAATGAAACCACATCATTCCTTTTCCATTTTTGAGGAAAATTAATATTTTCTTGGACTACATGGCACAATCTATAATATTCAAGCAATGAAAATGTCTTTCCTTCTCAGCTATTGGTCCAGTGCCAAGCCCATTTGATTGCTATTTGGCTAACCGTGGACTCAAAACTCTCCATCTACGAATGCGACAACATGAAGTAAATGCCTTGACCTTGGCAAAGTTCTTGGAAAAAGATCCAAGATGCACCAAAGTCGTTTACCCAGGTAAGTTTAATTGGAGCCCGGCTTTATTCCTCATTGTTTTTAATTATTTATTTTGTCGATTATTATAGTCTTTATTTAATTTATTATGTTGTTGTACATATTCGATTTTAATTATTTCTTTTGGTGGACGTTTGATCAAAATAATACAGGAAGATTGTTGGGCTCTAAACCTTCCTAGAAATGAGGTCAAAAACCTTTTTCCAAACTTACTACATCTAACCTTGAATAAATCTTATTAACATTATTATTTACTAGGCTTGGAGTCTCATCCTCAACACGAACTTGCCAAGAAACAGATGACAGGGTTTGGTGGTATGGTCACATTCTACATCAAAGGTGGCCTGGCAAACGCCACAGAATTTCTCAAGAAAGTTAAGGTTGGTCGTAAGATTAGTAAAGACAACACAGCCCCAAAACTAAGGCGCAAAACACGTTCTTTACTTTGCACGCACTGTTATCTTTAAACCCGTCATCCTCAACAAGTCATGAAGAACTAAAAACTGTCAAAAGACTTTGTAATCGTTAGATGCCAGCTCAAGAGACGAAGTCGCTCGTTTTGAAAACCGCCCTCTTTTGAGAGGCTGAACCTTTTGCAAACTTGGGGAGGCAGAGAATTTTTTAATATTATTTCTTTATCATCAGGTTTTTACCCTTGCTGAGAGTCTTGGTGGATTTGAGAGTCTGTGTGAACATCCGTAAGTGTGTTTTAACTAATGTTAGCTGTTGTAACAATAAAAATGTCAGACAAAAATGGCTGCATCTCTCTCTCTTTAACTCTAACTCTCTCTCCCTCCTCTCTTTGCGGCAAATCTTTGGCAATCTTTTAACAAAACTGTATACATAACAAATATTGGAAGTTGCAAAAAAACGCGCGCCTGACATTCTGAATCATGCTGCACGTTGTTTCTTAGCCTGTGTACAGTCGCCCACACCCCTCCCAGGCCTGTGGAAGAGGTGTGATTCCTAATACAAAGTGTAATGGTTGTCGTCTTGTATTGAATGTTTTAGTGCCATCATGACTCACGCATCAGTACCGCCAGATCAGAGGGACAAACTGGGTATTTCTGATACATTGGTGAGTTAGGAACAGGAAGAGACCATCCATCCCTTCCCTCTCCTCCCTAGTTATCAACTTAATGTCGCAACTCTTTTTGTTACATTAAAACGCTAGTGCAACATAAATCTGCGTATTCTTTCTTTATTTTGGCAAAAGCTTATTCCTTGAAGTCCATGTTCGTCCAGTCCTGTTATCAATGCCTTGTCAATGTCTTTTCTCAGATCCGTTTGTCCGTCGGTCTAGAGGACACTCAAGACATCATCGATGATATTGATCAAGCACTTGCAGCCGCAGTAAGTATGCAATGATCGCAGATCTAACGCGTAGCCAATAATAGGTTATTAAACAGATTTGAGGAAGCAACACTGCCTCATACGACAATTACAGCTTTTTCGATGCGTGCTACCTTGTCTTCAAGGTCGACATTCTCTTTTTTCTCATCAGAACGTTGAAAACTGATGAACATCTTCTCATGAAGACGTATAGGCATTGTATGCGCACAAACTAGAATACACACTTATGCTATGAGCTGCTCATGCAGTCTGTGCTAAGTGGGCATAATATTTAGTTACTAGAACCGAACAGGTCCACATTCATACTATTTGCTGCCATATTTTAAACTGCTCGATCAAATAAAGGATCGTATGTTTGTATGTATGTACTATGTCCGTGTGGGTGTTCATTGCTAGTCTTTTCACTCATACATAACTATAAATATTCTAATATTATCTTTTTTCATTTCAGATGCTTGTTAAAAATTGATGAAGAAATAATAGAGAGTTTTAGATTGATTATTTTTCTGCCCGCAAACCGCAAAYATGAGAATGTTTTCATCGTTTTCCTGTATTTAACTTAACCTCTTGCAAACTTTCTTACCAAAGACAAATATTCTTTTGTTTTTCTGCTACTTGAACTTTTTTGCGATTCTTTCTCAGCTATTTGAAATATGTTTTCACTGGTCAACTGACTTTTCACGTTTGCCGTGAACGTAAATCTAAAACTCTCTAGTGAATCACATGAGACGTCGATTATTTCCCCCAGTTATAGTCGTAGTTATAAATTTTTACGTAACTTACTACTGATGCGATTATTTTCTCAATACATATTTATTCTAAAGTAGTTCAATGTAGACCTATTGCTCCTAATTAGAGCATGGCTAGGATAAGCAAACAAAGGTGTAATGAGTATTATATTTTTTTCTAAAAGAAAAAGAAAAGACAAGCATCTAGAACTCTCAATAAAATTACTTGAACCTGATTTTACCGTGTAATTKCATACATGTCATTCTTAACAGAAGCCATTTTTAGAACTTAATTTAGTAAGTTTAAAAAATTAAAACCATTTTCTATTACATGAACTGAAAAAAAAAAATACGGGGTTTGGAAGGGGGTGCGGATCTCGAATGACGTACATTTCCCCCCTGAAATCTCGCGTCCCGCGACATAACCAGAATATTGTAAGCGACGACCACATTCAACAAATTCAAAGGCGTTTCACGTTTTTCCCGAAAATCAGAAAGCAAAATCCATCATCAAAGACGTTGAATTTGGCAATTTCCCGAATTACGTACGATTTTTTTCTAATTTCCCGGATCCCGCGCTAAATTTTATCCGTGTCCCGGCTCCCGCGAAAACTTGAAGTCCCTTCCACAGGAAGCCCATTGACGCAGACTACAGTAACATGGCGACCGAATGGCGTCCAAAACAACAGTCAAAAGCCACAATTTCTTCCTCAAAAAGACCACGAAATTCATCCGTTTTACCATTAATTTGTAAAAAATTATGAATATTGAAGTAGTAGCTCGAGTTAGACCACCAGGTCGAGGAGAAATAGCCTCCATTGGAATTTCAGGAACGAGAATCGAATCTTCCAAAGGAAAAGGGAATATTTTCAACGCAGTTTACAAACCTCATATTCCTACCTACGATCTTTACAAAGAATCATTTCATCCTTTAATTGAGTACTTCATTTCTGGGTACAATGTCTGTGTACTTGCGTTTGGAGAGACGGGTTCAGGGAAGTCGTACACGTTGACAGGAGAAAAGAGAGCCAAGGCGGCCATTCTTCCTTTCCTCATCAATGAGTTGTTCATGAAGTTGAAAGAAGAACGATTGAAAGACCATAAAGTACAAGCTAACCATGGAATGGAAGAGAAAATTACTGTACAGTGCTTTCAGTTGTATAATGAGAAGGTTTCTGACCTTTTAGGGCAAACTTATGAAGGTATAGTACATATAGTGCTTTGGAAGACTTGTATTGTAAGTCAAACTGAATAACGTGCTGTTGCTGCTGTTGTTTTAAAAATATTTGTATTGCTGTTGTTGTTAGCTGTTGCTGTCACTATTATACACCATTTTAGCTTCGTATGCAAATTGTCCATTTCAGATCACATGACATTCCCTTGAGAATTATTCTTTTATGACAAACATGTGCAAATATTTACACATGAAAGAATAGACTCCCACATCAGACTGGCATCACATAGTCTGAAATGTGCACAACACACAATGAAGCTAAAGGCACAGACACATGGTGCAACATTGGGTGCAACATTGCAGGCAATGTTGCTGAAGTGGGATAGTTTTCTTCTTCAACAATGTTGTGAGCACCCAATTGCATCCTGTGTCATGGCTCGCAACATCAATTGCATGAAACATTGAGTGCAATGTTGCACCGTGTGTCCGTAGCTTAAAATGGACTATTGGGGTTGTTATTGTTGTTGCTGTTGTTGTTGCTGCTGTTACTGTTTTTGATCCAATTCCACCCATGCTTTAAAAATAAATTTTGAGTAAATTACCCATTTTTTTTTCCAAATTTCAGAAAAGCACCTTGAGGTATTAGAAGATCCATTTAATGGTGTTGTTGTTAAGAACATCACAACAAAGCAAGTTACAGATGCTGCTGAGTGTACATCATTATTTAGACGAGCTTTGGAATCCAGGACCCATATGCAGACAGACTATGGCTTGTCAGATCCTAGATCAGCTTTGTTCTTTTGTCTGGATTTGCTTAAGGTATTACTATATCATCATTATCATTGTCATCACCATCTATCACCATCATCATCATCCCTAATATTATCATCACCATCATCATTGTCATCACCCTCTTCCATCTACCACTATCATTATCATCCCCAAAATTTAACCACCATCTTCATTGTCATCACCATCATTAACATCTTCATCAGCAAATGAATTACAAAGCTTCCCTTTTTTACAACAGATTAACAAGGACATCCCTGAATCCTTTTCTCGTCTGATGGTTGTTGAGCTACCAGGAGCAGAAAAACTATCAGAAGACCCGACACAGCTACGAATGAGGGAAGGACCAACACTAAATCGCTCTATCTTGGCATTTCGTCAATTGGTATCTTCACTGGCGGGCTCACCATCACCGACCAGGGTTATTAACTATAGGTTTGTCATTTGTATCTATTACAATGATAATAATAATAGTAATAATAATAATAATAATAATAATAATAATAATATATTGGCATTCACCAACCAGGGTTATTAACTATAGGTTTGTCATTTGTATCTATTATAATGGTAATAGAGTGCTCACACTAAATCCGTGAAACAAATACTAATTTTTAGCACTAAATAAGTGATAATTAAACAATAGAAAACAAAGGATTCTGTATGAAATAGTACTAATTAGTACTATTTAATGTTCACGGTTTTAGTGCGTGCACTCTAATAATAGTAATAAAAATAATAATATATTGACATTTTCATTCATGTACTCTTCTAGCCAACATGGTCTTTAAATATACATATAGCATATAACCTGTATCCATAGCAACCTGAGAAATTGACTGTTTTGCATCACTAACAGGGTTACCATAGCAACAAGAGTAAGTATGAGCAAATCTGTATCCATGACGACCTCTTTGTTTATGTGTTTTTCAGTGATTCCAAACTAACACTGCTGCTGAAGGATGCCCTTGGTGGAAACTGTAAAACCAAAGTTCTAGTCTCATTGAAGGCCACGGAAACACCCAGTTTGAGTACTATTCTGACGGTATCAGGACAACTTGGCCAGATACACAACTTTCCAATCATAAATGACCATATCACTCAGGTATCCCATCACTAGTTAATGATATAGCACACAGGTATCCCATCACTAGTTAACACAACACACAGGTATCTCATCACTAATAACCATATCACACAAGTATCCCATCACTAGTTGACATAGCACACAGGTATCCCATCACTAGTTAACATAGCACACAGGTATCCCATCATTAGTTAACATAATACACAGTCATCCCACCCCTAGTAATCAACAACACTGTTAGGACAGTTAGCAAATCCAAAATAACCATGTTCTCATTAACAGGAACTGATATGTCAGTACAGAGCAACTATCCTTAATCTTCAAGATGATCTTAAGCATGGAGGAAGAAGTCCTGGGGATGCTAGCGGCAGTAAAATCCAGGAAATCAAGGACCAGTTAACAAAAGTAACAAATGAAAATGTAGGTCAATTCCCTCCCTGGAACAGCAGACTTCATGTTATTCTGTGAGAAGCCTGTGGTAGTTTCAATATCAAACAGTTTTGAAGCTCTCTGATTGCTTTCCAGTTTGCTTAATCTTCAGTGACATAATTTTAAGGTCTGTTTTCTTTTGTTATACCTAAGGCCAAACTACAAGAAGGAAGGGAACAACTTTATCGCCGTATTATTGAACTTGAAGCAAAATATACAGAGGCAACAAACTCATGGAAACAACTGTCTTCAAAATTAGAGCTCAGTGATGAAGAAAAATTACAGGTATAACGATAATGTTGTTAATAATGACGATGATGATGATGATAATAAGCACCACATCATGGTCACAACTGCTATCATCATCATTATCATCATCATTATCATCATCACCATCACTATCGCCATCATCACCACCATTGTCATCATCACCACCATCATCATCACCACCATCGTCATCATCACCACCATCACCGTCATCAACAGCATCATCATCATTCATCATTATCACCATCATCATCACCAACGCTATCATCGTCATTTATCATCAACAGCATAATCATAACCACTATCATCACCACCATCATCATCATCATCACCATCATCACCATCATCATCACCACCATCATCATCACCATCATCAACAGCATCATCATTATCATCACCATCATCATTGCAGTTACTTTATTTTCTTGACATTTTTTAGATATATAAGAACTTGGTTGATCTTCAACTGGAGAACAATAAGATTATAGAAGAATCTGCAGCAGACAAGTATGAACTGACAAACAAAGTGAGTATTACTCTGACAAAGACCAACTAACATCCAGAATGTCAGGGGACTGCCAACCTTTTTTTACACTGTTTTTTTCTTATTCATCATCATCTGTCTTCATGCCAGAAGGTACATAAGGCTCACCACAAAGTAGATATTACTTGAGCCCAATCTTTAAGCATTTCTGTGCAATTTGATAAATTTACATACTATTTTTTTCCCTCTTTTGTATTAGATTTTGTCATTAGAGAATCATGTCAGCGAGATGGAGACTGTGGCAGAACGAGACAGGCGAGCTGCGCAACAAGGAAATGAAGATCTCAGTAATTTACGCAAAGAATACAAGGAACTGAGTGATGAGTATCTTGTCCTTAAGGCGAACCACCTGCAACTAACCAGTGACTATCAGAATGAGGTTGCTAAAAATGAAGAACTTGGGCTGGAGCTGGTTCACTTGTCAAATGTGAAGGAGAAGCTGCTCAAAGACAAGGAAGTTGTGGAAATTGAAACCATGCAGGTAACTGGCCAGAATTCTATAAGTTTTTTTCTCTTTAACCAGATTTTTTCTTTCTGTTCTCTTTATTTCTTTATTTCTTTCTTTTTTTTTAACATATTTTTTTACAAGAAATGGTAAACTCAAGTGAGATTACCCTGACATCTTATTGGCTGTTTAAGCACAGGAATTAGTATCAGAATTGTTTTATAATAGTGTAGGCTCCAGGGTTTGTTATACTGTTGAATAGTACCTGTGAGGCTGGTATATAGAAGGGTTGCCAAGTTACACATGTAGGAACAGACAATAGGCATATTTCTTTTAGGAATGAAATCCTTTTTCTATGCAAAACTTTGCATCATTTCTGCCCTACAAGATGGCTGTTGGGAAGTATGACTTCTTTTTTTCTATGATTCTAGATAGTACTGGACTCCACAAGATAGTCAATGTCCCTATATATCCAGGGTTAAATAAGTAAACCCAAAGTTGAGTGTGAGAAATAATTCAAGGTATCTGAGAGAAGATAAAACTGAATTTGATTTTGTTCTTTACTTAGGAATACTATGGCCAACTGCGAAAACTAGCCAGTAAGTTCACTCCCACCTCACTTCAAGACAAGGTGAGAAGTTTGCTCTCTTACAAGAAAAGGGGTGGGGAGGATTGAAATAGTAGTCCAACCAAATGGAAAAAAATTGATAATGTTCTTTTACATATTATTTTCTAGGATGACATGTCCAAGAGTCTAGTGTCTCTGCGCTCTGAGAATCTACAACTAGAAAAACAAGTAAGCTTGTCGATGTGGGTGTGGATGGATGGATGGAAGAGAAAGTGAAGAATCAGATGAAAATTGGGGAGAAAGAGGAAGAAAGGAATGAATAAATAAATAAAAAGAAATGAAAATGTATAGTAATACTAATTTCGTTTTTATCACAATGAATTTCTTCATCTGTTTTTTAGTTATTGATGTCCAACCATGCTAAAGAAGGAATGGTTGATGTCTTAAGAAATGAGCACAAAAAGGAGCTCCAGAAACTGGAAGATAAAATGTAAAAACAACCTTCAAACCTATATTACATACATTTTAAAGCAATATATTTAACTTTATCGTTATACTGGCGTTTTCCAGCAATGAACTTAAAATGACACTGAAGCATGTCCAGGCATCTCAAAGAGAAAGTCAACGTAAACTTGCTGGCCAATCAGCTGTAAGTGTTCTATAGCCCTACCACCCCTGCCCTACCCCTTTCCACCCTAAAAATGTCTTCCACTTTTTTTAAAAAAATCAGAGAGTTAACTTTGATTCCACAGAGTGGAGAGGGAGGAAAACCAAAGAAAACCCTTGGAATAGTTGAGAGAACCAACAAACAACTCTACGCACGTTTAACCCTAGCCTGTGAGTTTTTATAACTTTCTAGGATAATGATTTAATGAACATTAGTTGATTTCTTTCAGGAGCTGATAACAACGCAGGCTGACAAGCGGCTCCTTGAAGAGGAAAACAACAAACTTGATGAACAGTTGAAAGAAGTCAGCATTGAATATAGCAACAGACTGCAGCAGTACATACATGATATATCTGTAAGTGTATATACACCTCCACTTTGTCTGGTTTTTATCCCGGCCTCAAGGTAAAGAGGTTTATTCGAACTGTGAGAATAGCCATGCCATGACTTAGATCAGTCCAGAGGTTGTTTCAGGGTTGTATCTGTGAGTTATCCGTGCCCTGACTTAGATCAGTCCAGAGGTTGTTTCA